GGCAGTAGTAGCAGCAGCAGCAGCAGCAGCAGCAACAGTATTCTACCATCTGCGTTTGTCGAGGCCGCAGAGATTATTGCGGCCGCGATTTCTGCATATTATTATAATCCACTTATTTCGACAGCCGATGTATCGAAATTTTGACACATAAACACATTTTCCAATTATGATTTTTTTCCCTGCTATATCTTCACTAAACAATTTCTCTTATATCGACTTTTTTCGGCCCACTCTACTTTATCGACATTAAGCCCTCGAACATAAATGATGGAAAAAGCTGCGCTTACGGTCAACACATTAGTTCTTCATTAAGGTGGACACACGCCCTTATTTGCTCATTTTTGCGGTTGTTTATGTGCTATTCTAATTTTGATTTCATCCTGTTGTGAAACCTTTTTTTCCCCCACGTTTTTACACTCTGTGCGGCTACAAATGATAATGCTGGATTCTTAAAACAGAGCGCATGAAATCCTGGTGCTTTAGATCAAGTTACATCTATCAACATATTGCTATCTATAGATCTATTCGTCGTCACAGAGAGTTGAAGAATGAAAGCTTGAAAATTATTAAAATATATTGGCAATTTTTAAGGCAACTTTTGCCATTTTTTGTGGCAACGTTTGGCGACTTTTGGACTAAAAAGGGCAACAAGCGTAGATGGGTATTAGTTAATTCGTTGACCCCAGTGCTTTTGTTTATTGATTTGGCTTAATACATTGATATATTTTATTATTGACTGGTCCCATGTCGATACATCTGTGTATAGGCCGGTATTGCTTGGACAAATACTTAATACATCCATGACGCTGTCTTCTTACAGTTACACTTACTGTTGGAATCAGGAATCCTTAACAAGGACACACATTGAGGGTACTAAAACAATCATCTTTACCTTCAGCCAAAAATTAAAAATAAAACATACACAGAAACACATGCAAACGCACTCACACTTACACTCTCTCTCTCACACACACAAACACCCACACACACACACACACACACACACACACACATACACAAATACACACACAAACATACACACACATTAAATATTCACAAACACACAAACAAAATCATGTACATGTACACACGGCGAAGCCTCATGAATATTAAATTATTATACAACGATACAGAAGCAAAAGTCAAGAGTACCACGATGGCGTTACTGTAGGGCTTCAAGCGTCATTAAGCATCCAGGGAGCACAATGCATGTTACGCAACTACACATCTCCACTTTACTGGCAAACGGCACCAGCAACAGCAGCAACAGCAACAACAACAGCAACAACAACTACAGTAACAACAACTACAGCACTCTTCTTGAGGTCGATGACGACGTGTAGGAGCAATATAAAAAAAATCAACAGCTTTAACTCATAGCGTTGCGCCCTAAAGCTGTCAACTATACACATGTACGTACACACGTACCCACGTACGCGCACCTGCGCGCGCACACACACACAAACAAACACACACACACACTCACACACACACACGTACACACATATACACACGCACACACAACAACAAC